AGAAACAGCTTCGAGGACGCCAAATGTTCCTATATTCACTGATCAAAACATACAAACTCAAAAAACAACACAACAAAACCTAACTTTGCTAACTTCCCCATATCTTATTTTTATCTTTTCCCCTTAAGTTACTTAAATCATGTTATAACTACTCAACTCAGTTACATCTACAACATCAGTTACACAAGTTATAACCAAGTTCGCTAAATTAGAAATCCACTTACTCAACTTATAACATAGGTTATAACAAGTTATTTCCTGGGGGCACCACTTTGTAGCATCCAATATATTTAGTATTGATAATGTAAACAACCCAATAAATGGGCTACTGAATTTTGAGCCATAGCCGGGGATGAATCAAGTGGCCGAACTGGGAAGCCCTGTAAAGAAGCATCATTCAGGGGATATCCAAATGGGAATGGGCCAAAACAGTGGTATGCTGTAGTTTTATCACATGGTATAACAAAATGACACTCACTATCCTTCAGTATTCGTATAGAAATTCGGAATATCACTCTGATATCATTTGGATACAACACAAGTTGAGGGTTTTACTCTGCAAATACCTCTATGAGAACCTCACACGTATTCTTTGGAGGGTTAATCACCAAACCAGCGTCCGGAAAACCCTTTGAAAATACAACATGAAATGGTGGTTGATGAGGTCCCGAGTTTTCGGACAAAAGCAGAGCATGGGCATAAAGTGAGAGAATCGAGATGGGTGATACAATGTGGGGACCCGTTTTCGATAGTTAAGTTGGTGCAAATAACTCCAATGTCACTATGGTTTATGATACACAATTGACTATATATAGTTATAAGATGTTATAAGTATCATAAACCATAGTTATTGGAATTATAATCCATATAGTCAATGGGGTTTATCGAAGGAAGTTTAGAAGCTAAACTTCCGACAATATGGACAGTTGAAACGCAGAGCAGGGAAGAGGCAGAGAGAAGAGAAAAGATCAGAAGAAAGAAGAGGTAGATGCGCGAAAAGATAGGAAAGTCGCGATTCACTGTGTTTTTCCAATGATTTGTGGCTCCGGAGGGTCGAAAAGTAGGCTCGCTAGAGCGGCGGGTGCGGAGCCAGCTGGCCAGATGAGTGATGAAAAATTGCACGCCGTTGTGGCGCGAAGCACATTTTGAAGTCAAAATGTACAAAACACTAGAGGAGCGGACCACTTTTAGAAGTTGCGATGTCGAAAAAGTGCACGCCGTTGTGGCGCGAAGCACATTTTGAAGTCAAAATGTACAAAGCACACCATGGTCGGACCACTTTTGGAAGTTGCGATGTCGAAAAAGTGCACGCCGTTGTGGCGCGAAGCACATTTTGAAGTCAAAATGTACAAAGCACACCATGGTCGGACCACTTTTGGAAGTTGCGATGTCGAAAAAAGGGCACGCCGTTGTGGCGGGAAGCACATTTCCAAGTCAAAATGTACAAAACACCACATGTTCGCGCCACTTTTGGAGGTTCGGATGTTGGAAAAGTGCACGCCGTTGTGGCGCGAAGCACATTTCCAAGTCAAAATGCACAAAGCACACCATGTTCGGAGTTCGGACCACTCTTGGAGTCTGAGATGTCGAGTTTCGAAAAGTGCACGCCGTTGTGGCGCGAAGCAGATTTCGAAGTCAGAATGTCCAAAACACACCATGTTCGGACAACTTTTGGAGTCTGAGATGTCGAGTTTTGAAAAAGTGCGCGCCGTTGTGGCGCGAAGCACAGTTCCAAGTCAAAATGTTAAAAACACTAGGGTTTCCGACCACTTTTGGAGGTTCAGATGTCGCTTCGCTTCGCTTCGCGTCACTTCACTACACTACACTACATGACACTACACTTCACTACACTTCGAGCGGTTGAGATGTTGTTCCGCGCGGCCGGCACCTGCTCAGCAGATAGATAGATGGATAGAGAGATAGATAGATAGATAGATAGATCGATAGATAGATAGACAGCTACAGATAGAGAGAGAGAGAACGAAAGGTAGAGGGAGAATAAAGAGATAGAGATAGATGGAGAAAGACAACGAGAGAGAGAGAGACAGAGCGAGAGAGAGAGAGAGACACAGAGATGGAGACGTTTATATATATATATATACATATTGCATATATGTATACATAGAGAGCATGGAATGAATGGACAGACAGATAGAAATCAATGGATAGACAGATACTCGTTTTGGAAGCACGACTTTACATGAAGCGTGTATCGTTTCTGGTCGCGCTCTCGAGTCTGCAGCATATGACCCTGTTGTTACCAGTGTTCTCGTTGGAACGCTGGCGTGATGATGTTTCTTCTAACCCATCCGTGTCGCGTCTAGGTTGTGCATCCGTTTTGTCTCCGAAACCGATCATGCAACCGTCGGCCGACGATGGAAAATAACGCAGTGAGCCCTCTGGCAGGCATCGGTTTTGGAAGCACAACAGGGAATAGATACCATGGGATTTGATAGCTAAATCGATAGATAGACGGGCAACTAGATCGATGGATACATAGACAGATCGTACATCGAGAGATAAATCGAAAGATGGGTGGCTAGATAGAGAAAAAGATCGGCAATAGACAGGTAGATGGAACGACCGATGGACACACGGATCGCCAGATCGAAAGATCGCTAGAAACGTCCATGTCCAGATAAACTCATGGATAGCTAGATAGAT